CGAGAAGGAGACGGCGGCCCGCTCGGGGCTGCACAATGGAGCTCACGCTCTACCCGCCGGCGGCGGCACCACGGCCCCGGCGCGCGGGAAGCCGCTTTCATGTGACTTGCACAAAACGAAATGGCTTCTGGGGCCGGCTACGAACCCCCCTCCCGGGAGCCGAGCGCTGCGGCCCGGGAGGCTCCAGGCTGCAGCAGCCGTGCCCGCCGCTTCGACACGGTGAGCTCCAGGCTGCAGCCGCCGTGCCAGGTGGGGACGGTGAGCGCACCTGGGCAGCGGCTCGGCCCGCGCAGGTGACCCAGCCCGCCCCTCGCCGACTCGGGGCCGGGTCGCTGCGCCCATGGCTCAGGCGCGGGGTCCGAGCTTCCTGGCGGCCACGGCGCGGTGCAGCCAGCGAGCTAGCAGCCGCCTCGGCTTACCATTTGCGCACTTTCTCGATAGCCGCCATGACCCTCTTGATATCATCTTTGGCCCGGCTCCTGGTCTCGGCTCGAACCGACCTGCCCGACATGGTTCTGGCGGGAGGGGGGGAGAGCGAGAGAGAGGCTGGGGAGCGCGCCCGCGGGTCCTGCTGGCGCTCGGCGGCGGCACCCTCGCGCCCTCACACACTCACACACACTCACACACACACTCACACACATACACTCACACACACACACACACACTCACACACACACACACACACACTCACACACACACACCTGGGCCGCCGCGCGCCCGGGGCCCAGTGCGCAAGCGCCGGGCGGCAGCTGCACGGAGCAAGGGGGAGAGCGCCGCCGCCAGTAGCGCGGCCTCGGGGCGCCGCCGCCCACTCGGAGCCGCTGACCCTCTCCTGGCCGCGGCAGGGGCACCCGCGACCTCCCGGCACGGACTCACTGGGGGGCCGCGGGGACCCCCCCCCCCGGAGGCGGCGGGCTGGAAGCCGGGCAGGGGGCGCATTCCTCGGGAGCCACTCGGCGACCCGCGCCCGGCCCCGAGCTGGTGGTAGCGGGCGCAGTAATGCAAGTTTCCTGTAGGGTGCTTGACTTCTCAGAGTTCCTGGCGGCGGTGCTTGCAGTGCTCGTGGAAAGAGTTGAGTCGCCGATCTCCGGCCTGTTTGCCCCGGTTAAATGCACGAGCTAGGACGTCGCCTCCCCACGCTTAAACTAGGGTCTGTGCCCAGTGGCCTTACGCACTGCCCGGGGGCCTCGTCCTTGAGCCCCCCTGGGGTGTTAGGGGCCCACAGTGTGATCTCAGACCGCTCCCGGTGGAAGTACCAAGCTCAGTTGGCACACTGCTCCTCACTGGTGACCCTGCAGGTGAAATAGCCTGGTCCGACCCAAGGGGCTCTTGAGGGCCTATTCCCTCACCCCAGAAGCAGGACAGAGCTGGACGCAGAATCTACAGGGTCAATCCGAATAGCACAGGTGTCACCCTGTGTGTGCAGCTGCGGCTAAACCGACTGGACCCGAGCGGATGCCTGCCCTGGTGGATGCTGGGAAAAGAGATGACCTAATGTGTGTGAGCAAGCCCAGTGCCTGGAGAACTAACCCAACACCAGTCATTTCACAGATGGGGAAACCGAGTCAAGCCTTGAGTTCTGTCTGTGATGTCCACTCATTCTACCAAGCAGTCTCCCCCGAAGTTTGGAGGTTTCCAGAGGTTTGATCTAGGGAGCTGCTAGGGAATGGAGAGAGGAATCTGCAGAGTTACCTCAGGAATGGTTCTGAGAGTTGGGTGGGAAAATAAATCTTTGGCATGTCATGAATCAGAAGTCTCCTACTATTGCCCGATTATCTGACCATCGGATATAGGCTTTGGACCACAGGGAACTTTTTATTTTCAACACCAGGCCTTTCTTACTCTAGGCAAGTGCTGTACCATTACCCACAGACTATTTGTGTGTATGTGTATGTGAGAGTGATCTTAAAATAGGATGTCAAAATTCCACATATCAGGCCAGCAAGATGGCTCAGTAAAGGTGTGTCCTGCCAGGTGTGAAGACTGGAGTTCCATACCTAGAACCTACACACTGGAAGGAGAGAACTGACTTCCTCAGGTTGTCTTCTGAGCACCACAGGAGTGTTGTGGCATATATGTGTCCCCCCATAAATAAACAAAACTAAAATTCCCAACAATCAATTGATGAATGGCTAAATGCTCCATCTTATAATGGAATATTATTCAGTCAAGAGCACATGCTTCCTGGGTGTTGTGGCGCACACCTTTAAGCCCAGCACTAGGGAGGCAGAGGCAGGGAGACCTCTATGGATTTAAGGCCAGCCTGGTCTACAAAGCAAATTCTAGGCCAGCTGGGGATACAAGAAGACCCTGTTTCAAAAAGACTGAAAAAGAAAATATATGCTAAAGAGCCGGAGAGATGGCTCCGTGGTTGGGAGCACTGACTGCTCTTGCAGTGGACCAGGATCCGATTCCCAGCACCCATATGGCAGCTAACAACCATCTGTAACTCCAGTTCCAAGGGATCTGACAACCTCTTTTGACCTCCGAGGGCATAGCATGACAACACAGGTGTACCTCCTTACATGCAAGCAATACACTCATACACAAAAATAAAAATAGGGGCTGGCGAGATGGCTCAGAGGTTAAGAACACCAGACTGTTCTTGCAGAAGACCCAGGTTTGAATCCCAGCATCCACATGGCAGCTAACAACTGTCCGTAACTCCAGTTCCAGGGGATCTGACAGCCTCTTCTGTCTTCTGAGGGCATTGCACAACACCGGTGCACTTGCTTACATGCAGACAGTACACGCATACACATAAAATAAAAATAAATAAAATATTTTAAAAAAAGAATAAAACATTAAAAAAAATACATGCTAGGCAGGCGTGGTAGTGCACGCCTGTAGTCCCAGCACTTGGGAGGTAAAGGTAGGTGGATCTCTGTGAGTTCAAGGCCAACCTGGTCTACACAGTGAGTTCCAGGCCAGCTGGGGCTAGAGGGAGACCCTGTCTCAAAAAAGACCAAAAAATTAAAAAAGAATGCTCAAATGAATATTGACACATGCTTCAACATGCTTGAGAGCATGCTAAGCGAAAGCTGCTGGGCACACCAGGACAAATATTGTCTGACTCTACTCGTGAGCCATCTAAACGAGGCAGCTTTACAGAGACAGAAAGCAGATTGGTGGTTGGCAGGAGCTGAGGGGAAGAGGGAGTGATAGCTAATGAGCATGGGTTTTCCTTTGCAGTGATGAGATTTTTCTGGAAATAGATAAAGGTCATGGTCACATAACATTGTGAATAGCCCATGGTTACATGGGCTGGGCAGATAGCTCAGTGGTTAAAGTGCTTGCCGTGCAACAGTGAAGACTGAAGTTCCAATCCTCAGAACCCACACAAGTGCCAGACAAGTGTGGTAGCCTGCCTGTAACTCCAGTTTGGAAGTTGGAGACTGGGGATCCCCAGAGCAAGCTGGTTAGAAGGATTAGCCATATCAGCGGGCTCTGGGTTTGACTAAGAGATTCTACCTCAATGAATAGGGTGGAAGAGCAATAGAGGATGATTCCAGACATCAACGTCAGGCTCCACAAGCACGCACACCTGTGTGTGCATACCCACACATGTGCCCCGCCCCGCGCACACAAAAATGGTAAAAGAAAAAATGTGAGATTATATGAATTGACCATCAAGAAAATCAAATATCCAGCTTTTTTTTGTTGTTGTTGTTGGTCTTTTTGAGACAGGGTCTCCCTGTAGCCCCAGCTGGCCTTGAACCATGAGATCTGCCTGCCTCTGCCTCCCCAGTGCTGGGATCAAAGGTGTGCACCACCACATCAGGGCTTAAATTTAAATTTTAAAAAATATTTTTAATTGTTTTTTTTTCCTTTTTGAGACAGGGTCTCCCTAAAGTCCCAGCTGTCCTGGAACTCACTATGTAGACCAGGCTGGCCTTGAACTCACAGAGATCTGCCTGCCTCTGCCTCCCAAGTGCTGGGATTAAAGGCATGCACCATGATGCCCGGCTCAATATCCAGCTTCTTTAGAACCAGCAAAAGATCTGCAAACTGGGCCCCAGTGTTACAGGGCAACAATCAGCAGGAGCTGATTGGCTTTGTGCCCTTTCAAAGCTGCCCAGGTGACCAGTGTACTCACCAGCCACCTGACTTATTTCTGTTTCTTGTCTGGCCCCTGAAGATATTTGTGTTTTTGATCCCTGATTAAACCATAAAGCTTTCTACAAATGTTCTTTATAAATCTCGTATGTCATTTTTCTAAATGGTTTCTTGTCCCTGCAGATATTTTTTTAAGTTCCTTTCTTTCAACAAAGCATGGTTGTTTTATAGCTTGTGTCTGACATTTCTAAAATGTTTGAGATATCTGAAGGCTTGTCTCTGCTAGAGCTTGCTCATGGTATCAAATCTCCTTGTTATGCAATTAGTTCTTTTGGACTATGCCAGAAAGTGGATTATTCCTCTTCTTTCTCCTTATTCCCCTCCCCTCCTCCTCTTCGTCTCCCCCCATACACTAGGATCTCATATAGCCCTGGCTGGCTTCGAACTCACTTTGTAGCTGAGGATGGCCTTGAACTCCTGATCCATGAGCCTCCATACCCAGCATTGCTTACACTTTAATTTTCTGGCCTCTTGCTCCAAAAAGTCATTCACATGCCCAAGTTACCAAGTTTGCTTCCTTGCTGGATTATCTTTTAGCATTTCTTTTCCGTTTTGGCCTGCTGAATTCCCATCTTATCTATACCAGGTGGCTTTTAAGATGTTTCCAAATACTTTCTTTTTAGAAATCTATTAATCCATTTATTTAGTGTGAGAGGGGTGGTGTATACATACCACAGTGGACATGTGGAGGTCAGAGAACAACCCATCAGAGTCAGTTCTCTCCTTCTACCGTGTGGGTCCTGGGAATCAAACTCAGGTCGTTAGACTTGGTGACAAGGTGCCTTTACTCATTGGGCCATCTTATAGCCCTCAAATACTTTCTTAGTTTTTATTTTTATTTTTAGAAACTATATACTCCAGACTGACCTTGTGATTGTCCTGTCTTAGCCCTGAGTACTGAGATGACATGTATATATCAACATGCCTGGATCCTTTTCTTAGCTTCTTAGTGACTTTCAGTGTGAGGGTTAGTCTATGGGTCAGAAACTAGAAGTCAATACTCTACAAATGTTAGAATTCCAGTCTTGGAATTCCATAATCCACTTTCCAACATAGATGATCACAGAATAACAGAAGTTAGTTATGGCCTATGTCAAATGTCTTTATAATTCTTTGCCCCATCTTTATAAATGAAGAAGAGGGGACTAGAGAGATGGTTCATGGTTCATTGGTTAAGAACACTGCTGTTCCAGGGGACATGACACCCTCTTCTGGCTTCTGTAGGCATTGCATGCACGTGATACACTTACATGCAGGCAAAACACTCATATACCCATAAAATAAAAATAAAAAATAAGCTGGGTATGGTGGCACACACCTTTAATCCCAGCACTCAGGAGGCAGAGGCAGGCGGATCTCTGTGAGTTCAAGGCCAGCCTGGTCTACATAGTGAGTTCCAGGACAGCTGGGGTTACAGGGAGACCCTGAAAAAATAAATAAATAAATAAATAAAAATATTTAAAAAACAAAATGAAGAAGAAAACATCAACACTCAGCTCCAGGGTTCTCTCAAGGATGAAATGTCATATTTGTGAATGCTAGGAACATGTGGGCACAGTAACTGGTGTGTACCAGAAAGCATTTGCTAGATACAGGACCTGTATGGTC